CGGCCGGCGAAGGGGCAGCTCTGCCATCCAGGGGCGTCCCAGGCTAGACGGACGCTGCGCTGGGCCCGGGAGGTGTCCCCCGGGGCTGCGCGGCGGCCGCTGCGGACGGGCCCCGAGATGTGCCGGGCGGCGTCACCGCGCCCCCAAAGATGCCACACTACCCTCCCGACGGCCCAGCGGACCTCCCAAGTGGCCGGCGGCTGCTCGGCTTCCCCAGTGCGCCCCGCGCGTGCTCGCAGGCCCTCGCAGCGACAGCGGGGACCCACCGCGGATCAGCGTCGAGGGCCAGTCCCGGCTGTCGCCTCTCCCGATCGGCCCGATTCTTCCGCGCGCCCCCTCCGCGCCCCCGCAGGCCCAGAGCCCATGGCTGCAGCCGCCGCGTCGCCCTACTGGTCTCGTTCCCAGCACCGCCTCCCGCGCGGCCCCGAGCTCATTGGCCCGCCCGCCCCCTGCCCACGCTCATTGGTTCGCTCAACGCCCGCGCTCATTGGCCCGAACCGTCTAGGGGCGGGTACTTATTCGCTCCGCCTCTCCCGGGGCTTGTGTCTCTGTTGCTTTCCTGACTCGGGTGTCTAAACCGGCCACAAATTCGATTCTCTTTCTGAGTCCAAAGACTAGAGAGAGGGAAATGGTACTGAGTACAGTTCAAACCTAGACGTATCCTAAGGCTACAAAGACGAAAAGAAACTGCGGGCTTCCTCTGCACCTTGCTGAACTTGGATATGGCGCTACGCCTCTTTGGGACTCAGTTTCTCCAGGTGAAAAAAGAGGTGAGGTGGGCCAGTGGGAGAGAAAGACATTTCCAGTGAAAATTATGGGCATATCCCAAAGCCCCGATTTTTCATGGTGGGGGAGATCTATCAGTGCCCCCTTCTCCTCTCCAAATTCTGGCTGTTGAAGGTCGGCCCTTTGTGGGTTCTGCATCAGAGGGGTCTGTCGGGCGTCTCAACACCTAGTAAAGAGACTCCCAGGCAGGGTAGACCAGCCAGTAGGGTTGGTTTTTGTTTGTTTTGTTTTGTAAACCATGTTTACAAAAAAAAACAATAATACACGTGGTTAAGTATTCAAACAACCAAGAATTACACAAAGAAAGGTAAATCTCCCCTCCACCTTCTCATGGGCAACCTGTCTTCAGGAGACCGATTTTACCTAAAGGGCTTCCAAAAGCAGTTCAACAACCCTTTAAATATCAGGCATCACTGAGCTGAGTGCTTTACATGCATTGTTTAATTTGGGCCAGGCAAGGCAGTATAGTGAGTATGTTACTCCTTTTTACAGATGAGGAAACCGAAGCCTAGAGAAATGGAGGGACCCTGAAAGCTGCTGGGCTTGTGCCTGTTTGCAGGACAACTTGTCCTTCTTTCTCTTTCTTCAATACCCTTTTCCCTCACCCATCACCCCTCTGAATGAAGTACAGGGCCAACCATTACCCCGTCATTGGTCACCTTTTCTGTAACTGCCAAAGGTGGAACAAACCTTCATTCATTCACTCATCATTCTGCCAGTATTTGTTGAACACCTACTATGTGCCAGGCCTTGTACTGGACATTGGGGAAAACATTGGTCCCTGGCCCAGTGGTTTTCTTAGTACAATTAATGGGACAGCGTAGGCCTTTGGTAACTATGAGGTGTAGAAATGAATGAAAGAATGGTGAGCAGGGCAATCTTGCCTCCACAGAGCTTCCCGCTATTAATCCAGAAGAGAAATTTAGAGACATCTTCTTGGCTTTTTTTTTTTTTTTTAAATGTGATAGTTTGGGAAATGGCATGGATTTTGGGTGCCGACGAATCCACTGAAAGGACAAGATGTTCAGTTTTGTACACTGTTGCTTGAAATCCTTTCAATAAACATTTTTAAAAAACTGAAGTGGAAAAAGAAAAAACCCATGAGGACAAACAAGGCCGTTACAGATTTGGTGCAGTTTTGGTTACTGGGGAGTAAAAGTAAGGGTGCCTGGGTTTGAACTCTGGTTCTGCCACTTATTAACTGCGTGACCTTGAGCAAGTCAACCTCTGTAACTCAGTTTCCTCAACAGTAAAATGGACAAAATAATTGTACCTACCTCCTAGAGTTGTTGTGAGAATTAAGTAACTTAATATATGTAAAGTGTTTACTACAGTGGCGCATAGTGTACGCCCTGCGATAGCTATTCTTATTCTTGTCATAAAGCTGATAATTGTTCATAGTGTGGTTACTTTTATTCATCATCATCATCATCATCATCATCATCGCCACCACCCTCACCGGTTCCCTTCTCAGGGCTCCGCCCATAGGCCTCTTATTCCCGCCCACTCTGACGATATCGCGGCTTGTCCTCCTCTCGCCCCGCCCCTTCTCGAGGGCCGGAGGCGTGCTGTTGCGTGATGCACGCCGGCCCTTGTAGTCCGTTCGCAGAGTCCCGTTGTCGGAGGCTTCGCGGGCGCACTGCGTTTCCCAGCGTTCTTCGCGGCGGCGGCCGTAAAGTGCGGCGGCCGAACGGCCGTTTCCGGCTGAATGTCAGTACCGGGCTGTGGGCCGGGGAAGAAGGTGGTTGGCGGTCTGTCTACCACCTCCGCCTCTACCTCCTCCGCTTTGAGCTGCCCCGCGGGCGCCCGGCCGTTCCGCCGCTCGGGCATGAGACCGTGAAGCGAGTGTCGGGGCCGGGCCGCGGACATGTTTGGCCGCTCGCGGAGCTGGGTGGGCGGGGGCCATGGCAAGTCCTCCCGCAACATCCACTCCTTGGACCACCTCAAGTGAGTATGTTGGGGAGCAGACAGGGGGGAGGCCGCGGGACTGGGCACGGGGATGGGGGCGCATGGCCCCGGGCCGGGGATCCCGGGGGGTGTGAGAGCAGAGGTGACGGCGGAGAGGGGCGCCTGGCAAAGACTGTATCGTGGTTACGAACGAGGGCTTTGGAGTCGGAGCACCTGGATTCGAACCCTGACCCCATCGCTCCTGGCTGCGTGACCTTGGGCAAGTTGCTTAGCATCTGAGGGTCTCAGTTTCCCTACATGTAAAGTAAGGGGATGGACTTCAGTTTATGGACGCGGACTTCGTTCTTGCCGGGGACGGACAGTGGGCACCAAGCTTCCTTGGGGTTGTACTTTGGCTGGATAGCGTAGGGGTCAAAGGCCCAGAGTCCTGGAATGGGACAGATCTGGGTTCGAGTCTCCGTGTGTGAATTTAGGCCTCAGTTCCCTCAGTTGTAAAATGGATATAGTGACAGCGTTTACTTCCTAGGTTTGTTTTGAGGTTTGGGTAAGAGAATGCACATAAAGCTCGGAGGACTTACAAGGGCGCGATAAATCACTCTAGTTTAAAAACAAACAAAACAGTTTTCTGCTGGGAGGGTAAGGGGAGCAATCAGAAACAGCACTCTGGAAGAGGACAGGTGGCAAAGGGGTTCTTGGATTTAGGAGTGCACGGATATTAAGAGACTGGCTTTGCAGTCAGACTTCTGTTCCAGTCCTGACTCCACCACTTGATGACTGTGTGACCTTGGGCAAATTACTTCACTTCTCTGAGCCTCAGATTTGCTATCTGCAAACGGTGACCGTGGTCCTTGTACAAGGAGTCAGTAGTGTCACGCAGGGAAAGAGATTAGCTCAGTGTCTGTCACATAGTAGTTGACCAATAGTGGTAGCTATGTTCACCAGCCTGGCAACCCCTTCCTAGACCACCCTACCTAAAGTGCACCCCCAACCCCAGTTCCCTCCTGTCAGATCTTTCTCTTGATTTTCTTCATTGCACTTCCACTATTTGCAGTTACCTTGATTATTTTTACTTCTTTTCTGTCTCCTGCTTGTTTTGTTCACAGCTGTATTCGTAGCGTCCAGCACGCTGTGCCTGGCACATAGTAGGAACTCAGTAAATACTTAAAGAATGAAAAAGTGAATGAATGAACGAATGATTGAGTTGGGGAGAAGCACAGAGCAGGCAGGCAGAGACCAAGGATTTGGAGGAGGGTCGTGATGGAACATAGAGACCTTTGAGGCGGGAGCGACTCTGGGGAGGAAAATGTAGTGTGTGTAGCTGTGGGGGGAGAGGAGTAAGGGGTTGACTGGGAGTAGGCATACCTTGGGTGGTAAGAAATAGGCTGGTGTCCAGAGGGAGCTCCCAGGATTACTAATGGAAAGGAAGAGGGATGGTGGAGCAACAGTAGGAGGAAGACAGTGGGCCATGGAAAGGGATTGGTAGGAGGGGAATTGGATGAGGGACTTCTCATTGAGGGGAGAGACTGAGATTCTCAGCTGTGCCCTTTCTAGAATGGAGCAGACATTGATAAATGTCTGTGAGTCTCAAACAGTGGGGGGCAGAGGGCTCATTATATGATGAGAGATGGTGTTGGGGGTGGTGAGAGAAGACCTGGGGATGGAGAGAAGCCCAGGAATGGGGTGGGTAGGGAATCAGGAATCTTAAATGTGAGGGCAGCTGGACGGTGAAGGGAGGAGAGGCTGAAGGATTTCAGGAATTTACGGGGTGGGTGGGTGTGGCTGAGAAGGGGAGGGTGGTAATCTAGAGGAGGTTGGGCCTCCTGCCAGCACCCAGAAACCTGCAGGCTCTCACCTAGCTCTACCTGACTCTAGCCGTCTTAGTTACTTCAGTATTTATTTAATGGTCTGTTCTCTGCCAGGTGCTTGCTAAGGACTTGCTGTGTGTTATCTCCTTTAGTCCTTACAAGTCTGTGAGTTATAGGAACTATTTTTATTTCCATTTTATAGATGTGGAAACTAAGGCTCAAAGAGTTTAAGTCACTTGCACCAAGGTGGCAACAGCTGAAAAGTGACAGAGCCAGGATTTGAACCAAGGTAGTCTGACTCCAGAGCTTACACTCATTATGCTGTTTCTGACTAAAATTTCCCCATAAATCAATTTGGGGAGATTTCCAACTGGCTGAGCCTCATCACCAGTGGATATTTTTGCCAGCCAGCCAGGGAATGGTAAAGGTTCTCAGGTTCCTTAGAAGTATCCTGGGAACTGCCCAGGTGAATCGTTTAGGTTGTACGTCTGTTGGGTGCTTTTTTGGAAACCCAAGCTGCTTGCCCTGGATCAGGCAGATCCGCTTAATCCATACTAAAACCTGAAGAATATGGCCATTTGTGTATTGGAGTGGGGCTTAGAAGGCCACAGGGTGATTTGGAAAAGCGTGTCTACCCCAAGGCTCGTGGTGCTCGTGTGGCTCTGATAGTAAGCATCTTGGGCCATGAGTACAGAACAGCTCATTCCCCAGGGAGCGCACGTGAGGCTCATGGGGGAGACAGCCACAGAGACAAGGACTGTGCAGTGTGACAAGTGCTGGCATCGCTGGAGGCCCAGGGTTCTTGGAAATTTCTCAAGGAGGCAGCACCACGGCAGTGTCTTCAAGGACACTAGGAGTTACTGTTTGGGGCTGGGGAGAAACACTGTAACCTGGACCCTTGGTTTTGCAGGAGTGTCGAGGTGGAGGTGGGCAATTGTGGGAAACCTGACTTGAGCATTATCTGACATGCGGGGTGACCAACCTTCCCAGTTTGCTGGGACTGAGGGGTTTCTCAGAACATTGGACTTTCAGGGCTAAAACTGGGAGAGTCCTGGGAAAACCAGGACAAACTGGTCACCCTTCCAGTGACAAAGGAGCCCTGGTGGTCCATTGGTTAAGCACTTGGCTGCTAGCTGGAAGGTCTGCGGTTAGAACCCTCCAGCCACTCCATAGGGGAAGGATCTGGCAGTCTGTTCCCATAAAGATTACAGCCTAGGAAACCATATGGGGCAGTTCTACTCTGTTATATAGGATCGCTATGAGTTGGAGTTGACTCAACAGCACACAACTGACAAGTGACAGGTCCTAACCCACTCTTGCCCTGACCTAGGGCAGTGTGGATAGAGACGAGAGGTCAAGATATTTAAAATAATTTAGAAATGACAATTATATATTTTTCTGCACCTGTTAGAGCACCTGGGAACCTTTTTATTTTATTTTATTTTTAATTAGACTTTATTTTTTACAACAGTTTGAGATTTACAGGAGAATTGAGACAATAGTACAGAGTTGGAAACCTTTTTTAACCACAGCATTCTTCATCACATTCCCAGCTTGCAAACTGGAAAGAGCAATGAAGGAATCTTCCTGTTAGACAGGGTTTCACTTTTGCTGAATGGTAGAAAACCGGGTACCTGTGGTCTTTGTCTGCTGAATTGAGGTAGTGATTTAGCTGAGACAGATTGAAGTAGTCGAGCGGTTATTTGCTATACATCATGAGTGGTTTATTGTCCAGACTGGTAAATGGCGAGGCTGTGACATTTACGGATGCATGCCAACCACTGAGCAGAACCTTACCGATGGAGTCGTCTGAATGCTACTAGAATATTACCTTTACCAGGGACTGCCAGTCCACAAACTGATAGAACTGTTTTCTTGTTATGCTGTTGCCTTAATTCTGGTCACTTTTGTGTGTAGGTCAAGATTCTTGGTTTCACGTCGCAGAAACCCAACTCAAATTGCCTTAACCCAAATGGAGTTAATTTGCTTCTGTCATTGAATGGTCTGTCATGGCTAAGCCATGGCTGGATCCAGATGTCAGCTGTCAGGATGCTCTCTCTATCCATCTTTCAGCTCTGCTTCTTATTGGTGTCATTCTAAGGCAGTCTCCAGCCTTACATCACAATCAGTTTAGCAATCCCTGGGAAAAAGAGAGCTTTAAAAAATACTGCTAGCAGAAGGCCAGAATTGAGGACCAATCCAGGGTCGCATGCCCATCCCTGAGCTAGTCACTGTGGCCAGGGGGTGGGGTACCCTGACTTGCCAAGCCTGATTTATACTCCCTTTCCTGGAGCCATGGGAGTGGGATCAACCTCACACAAGCTAGTAAAAAGAGAATGGGAGAGATGAGTGGGTTCCCACGGGAAAATGTGGGGTTATTACCCAAAGAAGGCAGAGAATGTATACCTAGCAGGCAGATGCTTACTAAAGCCAAAACTGTGGATCCAACTCATGGTGACCCCGTGTAGTGCAGCGTAGAACTACGCTCCATAGGGTTTTCAGTGGCTGTGATCTTTTGGAAGTAGATCACCAGTCCTTTCTTCGGAGGTGCCTCTGGGTGGATTTGAATGACCAACCTTTCAGTAAGTAGCTGAGCGCTTAACCATTTACACCACCTAGGGACTTCAGATGCTGACTACTCTTAGTATAGTCAACTTTTGGCTAAGATAGCACTGATATCTTTAGAACTTGGGGTACCATATTGCCAGATTCATTTTCTTAGAATGTATTCACCATATCATATTCCCAGTACCACCTATAATGGTCCCAGGCACCAACTATGCCATGTCTTAGTTCTTCCTGCATTACTTCAAAAAGCTCCAGACTCTGTTCTCACCCATCTGGTTAGGGAGCACCGAGGTGGGCCCTTTAACCCAAGCTATGGGGTCAGGAACGTCCCTGGTAGGTAGACAGCCATGTAGTCAGAGACCTAAAGGATGAGTAGTTGTTACCCGGCCATAAGGGGACAGAATGGGAGGGAGGATATTTCAGGTAGAGGAGAGAGCATCTGAGAAAGCCTGGATGGGGAGAGAGAACAGGGCCCATGGGCAGATTCAGGTCATTGAGTAAAGGGGTGTGCATGGGACCAGGGGTTGTAGGACTGGGAGTGGAGCAAGGAGGCAGGAGAGGTCACCAGAGCCCAGGTCCCGCTGGGCCTTGCAAATCAGGTTAAGTGATTTGGACTTAGGCTGAGAACAGTGGGGAGCCATGGAAGGTTTTTAACCAGAGGAGTGC